GGGGCCCAGGGAGTGGGGGGCCCAGGGAGCAGGGGGGGCCCAGGGAGCAGGGGGGTCCAGGGAGTGGGAGAGGAGAGCAAGGAGTGGGATGAGGGAGCGGGATGAGGGAGCGGCCGAGGGAGCCAGGTAAGAGAGCAGGGCTCAGCCTCAGCACCGCACCACACCCTGCGCCCAGAGATCTCAGGGTCCTGGGGTCACTATGCCCGGTTGAAGGGAGGGCCTACTGCCCCACACAGCGGCCCGAGGTTAGGGACACAGCGTGAGAAGACAGGAGGCAGGCTGTCACGTGTGGGCGTGCCCCATGAACTCTGGAGAGGGACTGCTGGAACGTGCTCTGAAGGAGGGCTGGCTGTCGGAGCCCGAGGCTCACCCTGGTGTGCTCAGGTCCACTGGCCTGCCCCTCCCCCACAGCGCCATCTGAAGGGCAGGGCGGCACTCACTGACACATGGCGGGCTTGCCACACGCCTCGGCTGCAAGGCCACCCTTCCTCACTCGGGAGGGAGCGGCCATGCCGTGGTGCGGCCCTGGCTTCCCGGCTGCCGGGTTCAGATAAGCCAGGGCTGCGGCAGGGAGGAGAGGGCCCTGGGTGTGACCAGACGACCTCCACCTTGGGGCCAGGGCCCAATGCACCACTGCAGAAACACTCCGGGAGAGGCCTGGCCGCCTCTGCCCTGCGGAAGCCTGTCTCATGTCCAGGTCGGGAGGGCACGCTGCAGCTCCCCCTGGACCATGTCCGGTCCCTGGACGGGGACGTCGAGGACAGACTGACGGGCACCCTTGCCCTCCTCCCCACAGGCTCAGGGCTGAGCAAGCTCCTCTCAGGAGAGAAGGACGACCGTGAGGAGGACTCCGGTGACCTCGTTCACGGCAGGAGCTGCGGGAGCTACCTGGGCCGGGCAGCTGACGTTCCTTCCAGGCCCTTCGGCAGGTGGGGGCCGGCCTGCCACACGCCCCCCCGCCCTCAAGCACACGTGTAACTGTCCTAGGTCGCCCTCGACCCCACGCACACCAGACACGGAGGGCCCGGTCCGGACAGGCCGCCTCACCTCTCGGGAGGATGTGGGCGCACCTTCCAAGACAACCTTGGGAACACAGGCCTCACGCTGTCCCCTCCCGTGGACACTGCTCCGGGTGTGAGGCCAGCAGGGAGGTCCCGGCGACCAAACCAGAGCACGGCAATGCTTTCTTCAGACCCGCGTGGCTCGCTGCCCTCGGCCTCCTACCGAGGGCCGGCCGTGTGGAAGCAGGTCTGGGTACCAAAGCCCTGTCTAGGGCTTCTGCCCTAGCCACGGACTCGGGGCCGGTACTCCAGGTCCACCCAGACAGTGCCCCCCACTGCCTCCCCGACTCATGGGCAGAGGCAACCAACAGCACTGCAGCCGGCTCGCTTGTTCCTACGGCGGCAACAACCTCACCAAAACCACTCTGCGGCCAGCCAGGCGGCACAGGAGTGGATTCCCAACTCGGCCGACCACAGTTCAAGCCCCAGACCTGGCAGCTTGCTTTCTCCCTTTCTCCCTTGTTCGCACTCTATAACGAATTAAGAAATAATAATCAAAATAAATTAAATTAAATCGTTCTTTAAAAAACAAAAACAGGGAACCAGCAGTTAGCGTAATGGCTATGTCGCTGGACTCCCACGTAGTCGACCGCGGTTCGTGTCCTGGACCCGGTGGCTTAAAAACTCACGCCGGGCGCGTGTGCGTGCGTGCCCAAGATCCCGAGAGGAGAATGGAGGAGAAGGGATTGCGGCGTGGCCATCCCCCCTGGGGGGTGATTTCTCGCTTTCTGTCTCTATGTCTCTCTCTGTCTGTCTGGCGAGCGCACGCGCCCTACAGTGAAAATCTCTCCAAAAAAAAAACAAAAAACAAAAACAAAAGAAACCACTACTCTGCCAGGAAGAGACGGGCCTCAGCCCCGGCCCTCGGGTGCCCGTCAGGGACCCACGTCGGCTCTGCTGTGCACGGTCGTGGGCGTCTTGGAGGTGAGGATGGCAACTCGGTTCACACCCAGAAATACCCAAATCCCTGGCGCCCTGTGCGACCCGAATGGCACTTTCCTCCCCAGTCAGGGCCTAGAGAGACGCAGGAAAGCCCCGCTGCTGCCAGAGGGTTAAAGGCCGCACTGCTTCAGGAGCGTTTCAAGGAAACCCCCTCCGGGCCCACAGGTGGCATCGGATCCTCAGCTAATCTGAGCGTTGCCTCCCCCAAATCTAGCCATCTCCAGCCTGGCTTCCTGGCTTCCCCAGGAACAATGCCAGTGCTTTCTGCTGTGGCGGCGAGTCTGGGAGGCCGTAACTGAGCAGCCAGCAGAGCCAAACAGGAGCGGCGGGGCGCTGTCCAAGCCCTTCCCCTTGTTTGGCTGGTGGGAGACTGGCATGTGCGCACATGGTACAGCAGCCGTCAGGGACACAAAGGCTCCCAGAGCGACGGGGGCGGGAGTGCGCGGGAACAGGCCGGGACCTCCATCCTGAAGGCGTGGCGTGCTCTCTGGCTTGGCAGAAAGTAACGGGAGGCATCCTGGAAGGAGCTTGCCTCTGCACCCCGCGTCCCTGGGGGACTCAGATGCCGTGCACCTCCTGGCCTCCGAGGGCACAGCCCACGGCACCCACGCTGAGCCTCACATGACGACCCCATGCTAGGGAGAGGCCTGCCAGACCCCTCAATGGTCACCAGCCTCTCCAGGGTGGCACTGGCTGTGGACAAGAATTCCCGCTCCTGCTCACCCACCCTCCCGTCTGCTGCCCACCGGGGAGGAAGGGGTTCCCTGGCACTCTGGGTCCCAGTGAGTCACGGCTTGGTCTCGTGGGAAACGGGCACTAGCTCAGTAGTTGCGGGTAGAGAAAGGCCCCGGGGAAGTCTGGGCCCCTACCTGGAGTATGGGGGCATGTGGTCCAAGCCAGGCCTGGGACCATGTCAGCTGTTCTCAGCACGATTACAAGATAAGGCCGCCAGTGGGAACCAGCAGTTGGCGTAATGGCTATGTCGCTGGACTCCCACGTAGTCGACCGCGGTTCGCGTCCCAGACCTGGTGGCTTAAACTCATGCCGGGCGCGTGTGCGTGCGTGCCCAAGATCCCGAGAGGAGAATGGAGGAGAAGGGATTGCGGCGTGGCCATCCTCCCCGGGGGGTGATTTCCTGCTTTCTGTCTCTCTGTCTCTCTCTGTCTGGCGAGCGCACACGCCCTATAGTGAAAACCTCTCCAAAAAAAAAAAGACAAGGCCACCAGAAGAGACAGAATGGGGAAAGGGCTCAGTCTCACCTGCGACCAGCTGCCATCGTCTAAGGGACAAGGCTTGCTGAAAGGGACAGGACCACCGAGACCGAACAGAAACAGATTTTTAAAACAACAGAAATTACAGGCTGCTGCACACAAGCAACACCACGGTCCACAGAGGGCCACCGTCAGGCCTGCCCGCCGAGCAAGGTCAGCAAGGCTCACCACTCCCAGCACAGAGACACGGCAGGGGGATGACAGTCACTTTCCGGACGGAAGCGCGAGCTGGAAGGCCCGGCGTCAGAACCCAGCACCCGGTCTCAGAGGGGTGCCCGCGCAGAGCCAACCTCTCCAAGAACATGTTTTCCTGCACAGGCCCAGATGCGGCCCCAACACTAGGCGAGGGTGCGAACACGCCCGAAATCCCGAGAGAACGGAGAAGGGACTGTAGCATGGCCAGCCCCGGGGGGTGACTCTCACTCTCCCTCTCAGTCTGAGGAGTGCATGTGGCCGATAGCAAAACTAATGAACTTGGGTACCAGCAGTTAGCGTAATGGCTATGTCACTGGACTCCCACGTAGTCGACCACGGTTTGCGTCCCGGACCCAGTGGCTCAAAACTCACGCCGGGCGCGTGTGCGTGCGTGCCCAAGATCCCGAGAGGAGAAGGGATTGCAGCGTGGCCATCCCCCCTGGGGGGGTGATTTCTCGCTTTCTGTCTCTATGTCTCTCTCCGTCTGTCTGGCGAGCGCACGTGCCCTACAGTGAAAAACCTCTCGAAAAAAAAAAAAAAAAAAGAACTACTGAACTAAATAAATAAACTAACTGAAAAAGAAGCAAAGCAGTCATTTCTGAAGTCCCCACCCTGATGGCACCTCACAGAGAGAACAGGGATTCAAACACGGGGGCAGGACCTGCCTTTCGCCTGTGTGTAAGGCATCAGGGCTAGCAGGTGGCGTGGAGGTTAAGGTTCCGGATCCCACGGGGCCAACTGCATGGTCCAAGTCCTAGACCGAGTGGCTAGAAAAACACACAGGAGTGTGTGCCTGCGTACCCCGGCCCGGAGAGTGGGGAGGGGCTGGGCATGGCCACCCCTGAGTCACCTGTTAACAACACAGGTGACCATGGCGAGGACCAGGAGGGTCTGGGGATTCCTCCTGTGCCCTGTAAGCTTTTTTGTTTGGAGAGGTTTTTGCTATAGGGCTCGTGCATTCGCCAGAAAGAGAGAGACAGAGAGACAGAAAGCGAGAAATCACCCCCAGGGGATAGTCACACCGCAATCCCTTCTCCTCCTTTCTCCTCTCGGGATCTTGGGCATGCACACACACGCGCCTGGCATGAGTTGAAGCCACTGCGTCTGGGACTCGAACCGCAGTTGACTACATGGGAGCCCAGGAACAGCCATTACATTGACTGCTGGTCCCAACTTTTCTTTTTTTAAAGCACCATCACCCCCTCATCACCTGAGCCCATCTATCAGGGGGGAGCTGGCACCCAAGCATCTACAACTGAGCACTGGGCACATGCTTGAGGGTCAGGCCCAGGGACAGCACAGGTCTGCTTTTCTGCAGTGGTTGAGGTGCTGGACTCCCACAGGGCCGACCGTGGTGAGTCCCAGACCTGGCAGCTTGCTTTCTCACTTTCTCTCTCTCTGGTGAGCACACATGCCCTATAGCAAATTTTAAAAAATAATGTTAAATAAAATTAAATATATACTTTTTAAAAAAAGAGCAATAAACGTCCAGGGACCAGCAGGTAGTATGGTGGTTAAGGTATTGGATTCCCATGTAACCAAGTGCGGTTTGAGCCCTGGACCAGGCAGCTTGAAAATCACACTCGGGGTGCATGCCCAACATCCCAGAAGGAGCATGGAGGAGAAGGGATTATGGCGTGGCCATCCCCCCAGGGGAGCGAGTTCTCACTTTCCCTCTCGGCACCCTGTCTGTCTCTATGGCATGCACATGCACCCTATGGCAAAAACCCTAAGAGAGAGGGAGAGAGGGAGAGCGAGAGAGACGCCCTCAGAGACCCCACCCACTCCTGCACTGCTGTGCAGCCGCAAAGCGAAGCCTGAGGCTGGGGCATGTGCCCAGAGCAGTCAGCAAGGCCGAGACCCAGGCCGGCTTGGCACCCCCTGGAGTCCCCCCACCCCAGCCGCTGGGCCTGGGGGCAGCACCAGCCCCACGGACCAAGGCCGCAGAGCCCTCACCTGGAGTGGCCGTCCTGGTCCTCGCCATGGTCACCTGTGTTGTTAACAGCATACCTGCCACGGGGCTTATCTGCATCAGGACAAGAACAGAACAGCTGAGAAAGCAGGATCCCTCCACACAGGGGATTATGAAACCGTTAAAATCTATGGTTTCCAAAATGTGGTCTTTCCACATGATGAAACTTTGTTTAAAGGTTTGTTGGGGCCAGCAGGTAGCATGATGGTTAAGGGCACTGGACTCTCACATGGCGAACCACGGTTCAAGTCCCGGACCTGGTGGCTTGCTTTCTCACTTTCCCTCTCTCTCATTCTGTCCCTCTCTGGTCAAATTAAAATAAATAAATAAATAAAGTTGAATAAAATAATTTATAAAAAAAAGATTTGTTATTATTATTTTTAATTTAACCAAAGAGAGGCAGAGAGAAAGAGAAGGAAAGTGAGAAAGGAAGCCACCAGGTCCGGGACTTGAACCGCTTTCAGCCACGTGGGAGTCCATGGCCTTAACCACCATGCCACTTGCCAGCCCACGATGAAACCTTTTAAAGTGCCCGGGGGGCATGTGCTCTCCACAGACAGAGCTGTGTGGGCACCCCGACAGGTCACGTAGCAGCCCTCCCTCTGCCACTTTCCCACCCCGTCAGGATTTGGGCACGCACACTTGGCATATCTTCCAAGTCATTCCATCTGGCCACGTGGGACTCACGCTTCCACATGTAACCCTGGGCTGGAGGGCTGGACCCTACAGTGGAGTGTCATTCAGCCAAAAAAGGACACGGACAAGCCGTGAAAACGCTACGCGGAATGAAATGCGCTGGACGCGAAAGGACACGGTTGCTCACGTGAAAAGTCGGCCGGAGCTCTTGACAGGGAGTGGCTCGCGCAGCGGGGAAGGAGGTGTCGCTGGTTAGGGTCAGGGTTAACATTTTGGAACTAGACACCGGACGGCGGTGGAGCATCGTGAATGCGATTAACAGACGAGGGCTCCCATAAAGAGCTTCGCAAACGTTCTGTCACGGCTTTTCTAAGCCGTGGGATCACCCGCTTCTGCTGCGAGGGGAAGCTTTATAAAACAAGGATATGCAGGGGCACACACGCCCTTTCAGTGTCGGGTGGCAATCAGGTTGGGAAAAGCAGACAACAGGAAGAACTGCAGGGCTGGCGGCTGGTGTGGTAGCTTGGGCGCTGGACTCCTACATGGCCGACCACGGTTCGAGTCCCAGACCTGGCAGCTCACTTTCTCACTTTCCCTCTCTCATTCTGTCCCTCTCTGGTCAAATTACAATACATACATACACCAAAGCCACAGCCCAGGCCTGGGGCTCACACAGGGGTGCCGACGCTGACCCAGAAAAGCCACCAGCAGGCCAGCCAGGCCAGTTCCTAACAAGGCCGGAGCCCACAGAGCTGGCGGTTCGAGTCCCGGCCCCAGTGCCTAGAGAAGCATGCTGGGGCGTGTGCACCAAACCCCAGAAGGACGGAGGGATGGAGAAGGCAGTGCAGCTCCAAGCCCTGGGTGCTTTCTCCCTCCTGTCTCTGCAGCTGCACGCGCCCTCAGGCAATCTGCACGGGAAAAACGAAAGTGATGTGTGACTAGCCCCACCTGACGCCGCGCCGCACGGTCACAGCAGCTGGCGTGTGTGGGACGCCCCTGCACGCGACCACCGGAGGGAAGGCAACCAGCAGGCCTGCACGCTCATGGGGCCGCGGGACACAGGACCAGCGGCCGGCTGCAGGGCCCAACCACGCCCTGGCCTGTCGCAGTTCATGTCCCCGGCCACAGCCAGGCAGTGCTGGCAGGCCTCTCAGCGAGCTGAGAGATACGGGGCTCCGAGCTCCCAAGGAGGAGCTTCCGACTTACACCAAGACACGCACCTTGCTTTTATTTATTCATTTAACTTTTTTCTTAATGAATTATTTATTTTATTCCATTATTATTATTATTATTATGACTAGAGAAAGAAAGAGTGAGAAAGCAAGCTGCCAGGTCCGAGACTCAAACCACAGTCAGCCATGTGGGAGTCCAGTGTCTTTGACCACCATGCCACCTGTCAGCCTCAGGAGGCTGGGATTTTTAAATCTTATTTGTTAAGAGATTTTTAATATAGGGCACATGTGTTCGCCAGAGAGCCAGAAAGTGAGAAGTCACCCCCAGGGAGACAGACATGCCACAATCCCTTCTCCTCCATTCTCCTCTTGGATCTTGGACACACACACATCCAACCTTTTTTAGTTTTTCAGAGATTTTTGCTACAGGGCGCATGCACTCACTGGAGCGACAAGAAATCACCCCCGAGGGGGGATGGCCACACCACAGTTCCTTCTCCACTCTCCTCCTGGGACTCTGGGCAAGCATGTACCTGCACACAGTGCATTTTAAGCTGCCAGGTCTGGGACTCGAACCACGGTTGAATACGTGAGAGTCCAACAACATAACCATTACGCCATGTGCTGGTTCTACTAAACACATTTTTGAGAGATTTGTGCTTTAGGATGTGTGTGCTCACCATAGAGACAGACAGAAAATGAGAAATCACCCCCAGGGGGATGGCCACACCACAATCCCTTCTCCTTCATTCTCTTGGGATCTTGGGCACGCACACACATGCGCATGGTGTGAGTTTTAAGCTGCCGGATCTGACTATCTGAGAATCCAGCAACATAACCATTATGCCCCCAACAAACACACTTTTTATTGGAGAGATTTTTGCTATAGGGCGCATGCGCTCGCCAGACAGACAGAGAGAGACATTAGACAGAAAGCGAGAAATCACCCCCCAGGGGGGTGGTCACGCCACAATCCCTTCTCCTCCATTCTCCTCTCGGGATCTTGGGCACACATGCACACGTGCCCGGCGTGAGTTTTAAGCCACCGGGTCCGGGACGCGAACCGCGGTCAACTACGTGGGAGTCCAGCGACATAGCCATTACGCTAACTGCTGGTCCCAAACACTTTTAAAACGAGACAATAGGGTCAGCTCCATGGCGTGGCGGCAGAGAGTCAGATCCCACATGCCAGTCCCCGCAGCTCCTAAGACGTGTGGAGCTGAGCGTGTGCACGCCCCGAGTGCTCACAGGGTGGAGTCATGCAGAAGGGACTGGGGCATGTCCACACCCCAGAAGCCACGTGAAATTAGACTGAAAACTTGACTCCCTAAAAATGCCTCCTGGGGCCAGCTCTGCGGCCTGGCAGTTAAGGCGGCTGCATCCCACACGGCCAACTGTGCAGTGCAGTGTGAGTCCTGGGTCCAGCGGCCTGAGAAGCATGCCAGGCACATGTGCCCAAGACCCTAAAAGTAGGGAGAGGCAGAGAAGGGGTACAGAGTGAGCTCGTCCCCGGTGCTGCCCCCCTCCCCCCGTGAGCACACACACTCTCTAACACAAACACAAAACAAAACAAAGAAAGCTGACAAGAACTGTACAGAGGCAAGTGGTTTTATTATTATTTTAGTTTCTTGCTATAGGGCATGTGCACTTGCCAGAGAGTGAAAAAGTGAGAAATCACTCCCCGAGGGGGACAGCCTCGCCGTAACCCTCTCTTCTCCATTCTCCTCTTGGGACTTTGTCCATGTGCCCCAGTGTGCTCGAACTGTGCAGTCAGCCACATGACCCAGTCACCTCAAACACCATGCGACCGGCTGGCCGGCAAAATGGGTATTCATAGCTTTGTCACAAAGACCTATTTTTACCTTAAACACAAAGAGCTCCTTCAATTCTGTAAGGGAAAAAAAAATCAAATAATGAGAGAGTAGGCAAAGATCATGAACAGATCATTCACCAAATAGGAAATTCAAGGGGCCGGCAAGAGGCATGGTGGCTAAGGGTGCTGGACTCTCTCATGGCCAACCACAGTTCAAGTCCCAGACCTGGAGGCTTGCTTTGTCCTTTCCTCTCTCTCTCTCTCTCTCTCTCTGGTCAAATTAAAATAAGTAAATTTAAAAAGTTAAATAAAATGATTCTTAAAAATAAGGACATTCAAATGGCTCCCCAAACAGGAACACATGCTCACTCCCCACCACACCCATCACAGCTCTTATGAGGGCTGGCCAGCAGCAGGTGGTGGTGGTGGCTGGGTGACTCTGTGGTTCCAGTGCCAACCTGGCAGCTTGAGAAACACGCTGGGTTCACACGGACATGCCCAGAATCCTGACAGGAGGGCGAGATGGAAGAGAAGGGAATGCTAGTGACAGTCCCCGAGTAGTGCTTTCTCACTCTCCCTCTCTCTGTCAAGCACATGTGTCCTACAACAAATTTAAAAGAAAAAACCTGCTATCGTACACAATTTTTCACTTATCAGACTTCCGAAGTTTGAAAAACCTAATCCATTAAAAATAAATATGCTGGGACAGGCAGATGGTGTAATGGTCACTGGACTCCCACATAGTCAACCGCGGGTTCGAGTACCGGACCCGGTGGCTTTAAACTCACACCGGGCACGTGTGTGTGTGTGTGTGTGTGTGTGTGTGCGCGCGTGCCCAAGATCCTGAGAGGAGAATGGAGGAGAAGGGATTGCGGTGTGGCCATCCCCCCTGGGGGGTGATTTCTCGCTTTCTGTCTGTCTGTCTGTCTCTGTCCCTTCAGCGAGCTCATGCGCCCTATAGCAAAAAATCTCTTAAAAAATAAATATATTCGTCCGGACTTGAGGCCGCGTTCTGAACAGCAGCACCTGCGGACAGCTGTCGGACCATCGGCATTAGCAGGAGAGCGAAACTCGGTGCTCTGGGACTGGGGGACAGAGAACACCGCCGCAAGGTCTCCGAGGCGGCCGGG